GGATTTTACGTGCCAAACCAACGAAGGGCATCAGACACGTCCCAGTGGAGGACTGGTGATTAATTTCGACCACTTGGGGATCCACTGACGCGTGCAATGGTCGGATAGAACAGGAGAGCCATTCATAACTATGAGATACAGGCCAAATCAAACTCAAACTTCGTTTTCAACTTCACTAGCTCATACGTCTTGCAGGTCACGTATTCGCTCCCTTTTTGAGCAAGAACTGGACGGTACACTGACGAGCCATTATTTTGTGACTTTTTACGCAAATTACGCTACCATTCACACGGTGTTTCCATTCTGAAGATGTTTCCAGCGCATAGCGCCAACACTTTATACCCGAGCGAAATCCGAGCTATGACCTGATGGGCAAGCGCGACCTTGAAGTGCGAACGCGACTGGGCATTGTCGTGTCGTCTTTTGCTTACCTGAAGTCTCGGGGTTGCGCTGTCTTAAAATAAAGTTCCTTTTCTCTCTCTCTCTTTCTTGAAGTACGCCCCCCAAACGTTGTTCGAGCCTTCAAACTTTCGAAGCAACATCATCGCGCTTGTCGATCCAGCTTCGCAATTGGTCACATTAATTGTGGGCTGTGCGCCCCTTTGCCGGGACGCGCGCGTCTGTGGCTGCTTATGGACGGGGCTCATAGCTCCCAATCAATACGTTCCACTTCTCCGAACTGCGAGCCGAGATACGATAATCCAGAACAGCCGATCTATCGCACGTTCGCGGGTCAAAGCAGCTTCAAAACTATGTATACGGCGGTGGAAGCATCCCGTGCCCTCGTCCAATATCTCGGACGACGAGAAACTAGACGGGGCCAGCTCGCCGTGACACTCTTCGAGGCCGCGCTGATCGCCCGTGAAAAACGAGGTCTCCTCGTTCATTTCGTAAGCCGGACGGAAGCACGTGGACGCGACACATGGAAAACGGTTAAAGCTGGACACATCCCACGTACCCACCGACAAACAGCTTTACGTCAGTGAGCTTACTAAACGAGGAAATAACGCGTGGCCGCAGGCGAGGCGCTATTTTGCTTCGATAGCTTATACAAGGCAAGATGACTGACAAGTGCTGCTGGACAGGTTTTCACTGTCGAGCACCCGAATAAGAAACCAGGCCGGCGTTGCGCTGCAAGCGTCGACATCGAGGGATATTATTCACCCCATGTCGCATTTAGAGCCTCGTGCTTTCAACGTTCTCTCCTCGAGTTTTCATCAACGCAACTTACATCTGCAGCACGAAGCTTCCTAACTGGCGGTTATGACGGGAGTATAGAACCTCGATGGTTCTTGCCTGTCGGCTGCAGGTGCACGATATGCACGATTGGGGTTCTTTTTTTTTTCTTTTTAGAACAGTCTTTTTCACACTTTGCCCAGTGCGTCGATGAAAGCATGGTATTCCTTTCTAAAATAGTTCTGGCACGTTTCCCACAAGTTTCACTTAGCTGTATTTTAACTGCACCTGATCTCCGTCAAAACGTTCGTGCCACGGGTCTACCTTTATTATTAGAGAAAGCACAGAACGCTGGGCTACATGAAGAGCCACGATTCAGAATACAGACTATCGGCGGAAAGACGTTTGGACCAGGTGACGACAGCGTAAGCGAAGTGCTCATTCAGTTTGTTCAGTTTGTCTCGTATTTGAGCGATGCCCGCACTCCAATCAAACACAGCTGCTCCTTTCGCCATATTTTGCTTTCGCCTTTGATTCAATATTATGTAGTAATGCAGGCAAGCTGCCAGTGGTTTCGAATACAGTCCCTCTATATATCGAGTACCATGGCTCTCGAAGGCAGGAAGACAAAAATCAGATTGATGAAAGCGCCGTAAACATTTCTCTAACATTAAAAAACAAAACAAAAAATGCAAAGAAAAAGAGTTTTAAGGAAGGACCAGCTTTCTAAAATGAATTTGTTTTTGGCAAAATTTTAACGAAATGATGCACGTACATAGTCAAGAAAACTATTAACTGCACCACAATCCTATAGTGTCTCAACGACAGGTTGTTTCGTTGTCATTCCTACGCCTCATCGTACAAAAAAAGTTGTGCAGGTTCTGCACCTTTAGTCCCTCAAAGTAGAGGAGGTCAAATGCTAAGTTGACCTATTAACCGTTTACAGGGGTGCACAAACCAACCTGTCGTTCGATCTTAAAAAAAAAAAAAAGAAAAGAAAGACCATTTTCTCACGTATCGGCAAAATCCGCGAGCGACGAAGTCTTATTTGATCTTTGGGCGCGCCATTTTTTACCACCATTTTAATTATTCTCGCGCCATACCGAAAATTCTGGTACGACCGGACTGAAGGGCTCCACGCACACATGAGTTTCCGGCATTCGCTTATCGCGTATTCAGAGACGCGCTCGCGTCATCCGGGTCGTCAGGACTCTTTTACTTAATTAGTCCAGCGCCAAGGACTATATACTATGGGCGAGTGTAGTTACAAGTGCCAGCGTCTGTAGCAGTAACTGCTCTAAAGCAAAAACCTAGAACAAATGGCAACTTGCGCGTGTGTTTGTCAGCGCCTAATTTTTTATAATCTAGTTGGAATATCTTATTCAGAGAAGGCGAGCGCAAGCACGGCGTGTACATCCTCGGCACTCTCCTTTGTACTTGGGTAATTTGGGGAAAGCTCCGTTATACGAAGGCACCTCAGGTACGGCAGCTCACAACCACGTAAATAAGGCGTCACCGCTCAGCTGAACGTGGTTCGATCCTCACCCGACCATCGGCTCCTTTCAGCGTTAGAGAAAAGCCATCGAACACACAATCTATATAAAACTGTCGGAGCTGCGTAAAAAACCGCCACTAAGCGACATTGAAATCCACGGGGTGTCGTATCAAAACAAAGGGTAGCGTCGGTGTATGCGACGTCTTCGGCTGCGGACTTCGGAAAGAACGAACAAAGCCAGCGAACCTTTCTTGCGCAGAGCGGCTCCGAAGAATTACTGGGAAAAGCCCGAGCGCCGTTTCACATCGTGCGATGGTTGGGAAAGACGCGCGCGCGGGACGGACGCTGCACAGATCAGATGACACCGTTCCAGCAATTCGAAACGCAAACGATGATGACAGTCGTGCGGCGGCATCGCTCCAGCGTTTTCTCTGGAAATCACAAACACGCTCTCTCTCTCTCTCCTGTGTGCTACCCGGCAGCAAAGCCAAGAGCAAATGCCTCGCAACAGGTACTCCCCTCCGGGACTGCCTTAAAGGGACACTTTATATCCCCCCAAAACAACGTTTTATGTGCCTGAATAGGACACGTCTATTACAAAAATACCCCTCCTTCTCGTTAAAATAAAAGAAAAGGAGAAAGATTAGCGCCATACCAGATTGAGATTAGGAGAAATTCTAAAACGCACTTTTATCTCGAGACATATGGACCCCGAAATGGAAGCGCGTAGCCGAGTTCCTTCTGCAAATTGAAAAAAATTGGCCCTCCTACATATGGACACCATCTATGTATAAGTAAGATTCATACGAACATATCTCGATCCATTGGCATCTTACACAGAGTTAGATCTTTGATTCAAAGTTGGTTAAAACAGCAATTGTATTACTCTTTAGTGCCTTTTCATCTTGATTACTGTTTATTAGTCTGGGGTCGACAACTAAAACAAACCTCAAAGCTTTTTATCACGCAAAAATAAAAAGAAAAAAAAAAAGGCGATACGATGCGTAGAAAATCTAAATTTCATGGGCCATACTACCTCGTGCTTTCTAAAGCACAATTTCCCTAACGTTAACCAAATGTTTCATCTAAAACTTCCAATATACATAGAGAACGACATAATTAACGACCAAACGACTTTTTTGAGACATTGTTTTGGAATAATACACAATACAATTTAAGGCACGAATCCTATAGGATACCTTGGTTAAAAACAACTTATGGAAACCAGAAATTAGCATATTTGATACCTCAATTCCGAAACACACATCCAGATGGTATGGGAATAATATTAAATAGTGTTTCACGTGGAAGCTTCAAATACGATATCAAAAGGCACTTTCTCGCACGTCGTACGGAATAAATTTTTAACGTCAATTTGTCTCCAGATACACTGTGTATGGTGTTGTGACCAGGTCCATTTTAGCTACTGCATAAAATATGACGTGGAATTTTCATCCTTGTCGAGGTATTGGTACCTATGATATTGCACTGCTGTCTCTTGCCGATGTATTTTTTTTTGTTTTTTTTGTTTTTTTCCACCGATGTTTTGTACTCGTTTTTTTTTTTTTTGTCCCATTGACTGCTGATGCAGCGTACTGAGGGGACTGGGCCTCGCCAGGCAGATCCTATCTGCCTTTTGTCCTTTTTCCTTGTGACACTGTGTTCGAAACAAACGAACAAACAAACTTTGCAAAAAAAAAAAAATTGTACGGTTGTGATTTTGACATTTTACTTCTTTTTTTCCTCGTGAGTTTAATGTTTTCTTTTTTAAAGGCTCTCCCTTAGGTATTCCCTAAAGATGGCTTCTAAGGTATGCCCCAAAAGTTGACTAAAAGGCAAATTTAAAAAAAAGTGCCTCGAGCCTCAGTCCCATTGCTGGTTATAGATCATACAGAAGACACGCTGTCCGCTACCGACACGATGGCAGAATCGCCTGCGGACACGCCTCAACCAGGTTCCAAGCAGCTTTGACATACGCCTGCTTCTAACATGGCAGTTTCTTTTTTTTTTTTATTGTGACAAACGAGAAAGAAACCAGAGACTTCGTTGTACTGTCCGTTTTTTTAATATTTTTCCTACGTCTCAGGGTTACTATGGACCTTAGACAGTGTATGCAGACTGTCCTTTGACGGTGTAGAAGCAGCGCGGCTTCAAAGGCCATCCTTAAAAACCATGGCGCGCACACACACACACACACAAAAAAATAAGAGCAATCCGCGGGTTTCTGGCTATCGTACCGGGTTCAAGAAGGGCGGCTCCGAGAGGCCCCGTGCAGCCAACGCCCCAGGCCCGCACGATGATGAGCCGCACGATCGTGCGAGGTACTTACTGTTCACGGATCCAAGTTGGGTTCCGGCCTCGAGGTTCCCGTGACCGTGCCACCGCTCAGAGTCGACTCCGTGCTCCTCGCCATTTCCTGGGCCACGGTCGCCAGAACTGCGGAGGAAAAGGTACAAGAAGCGCTCGTCAAATGACGCGTCGGAGAACGACCACGGACGAACGTTTCACATTTAGACTCGACGACGGAATGTGGTCGTGAACCAAATTGGCCCAATTAGGGCTGTGTCATAACGCAAAAGCAATTTGTTTACTTTGTTTTCTTCTTTTTTTTTTTTTACGTTGACAATAGTTAAGGTAGTTTTCTGGCGACTCCGAGCAATTTCCCGCAGTACAATATGTTCATAAACACATTCATCTGTAAACAAATGGCAAAAAATATAATACAGGTGGCTGTAGGCTTTGACAGGATTAAAACGTCAGGGACGTTTTTAAGTCCTCCTGTCTCCAACGCGAACAATTGCTCCTTCGATAATACTTTCGGCCTCGAGCGTAGACGCGCAGCCAAAGTACGACGGAAGACAAAGTGGGACCAAGTGTCTCGAAGTAAGCTGGAGAATACAAATCGAGATGATCAAAATCGGGATTTAAAGCACGGCGGTTTTACTATAATGATTTAAATCAAACCATTCCCGCCGAAATAATTCCCCAAATACTCTTTATCCACTGTTTGTCTATCATTGACGCTTTCTCATAGTGCGCTTGTTTTGTACTAAAATAAAAAAAAATCATCCGCCAAAATATAATATATGTAGCGTATTGAAAACAATCAATTCTTCTGAGCAAATCAGAGCGTCGCGCTTTTTATCTACGTTCCATATTGTCAGTTACGTATTGTCCTACGGTGTCTAGATTCCCTTTTCACGGCACTCATCCACGTTCTCGAACGAACCGAACAGGCAGAAAACACATGAAAACTTGACTCCCAACTTTCCCCGCTCTTTTGGTACGGCTTCAGCCACGACGTTGTGACGACAAGGCAGGTTTTAGTCTGGTTTCTTCCAAAACAACACCGGAATACCCGTCGTCCCCCATGGCGATTTCCGCCCACATCACCCGACCGGGAGTGCGCCCGACGCGCCATCACCGCAGCGTCACGTAACAGCGTCAATGAGCGTCGGTTTATTGACGCCGCCTGTGGTAAAACAATACTTTTTTACTGAAGGAAACCAAACCGCGCGTGGCGAACCAGGAAAGGGCCGTCTCTCTTTTGGGGCCGCAGAGACGCCGCAACAGGAAATGAACTTAAACGGGCTAATCCCGAGGTTTCTTTGTGGCGCGGTGAACCGAACCTGCCTCTTTCGGTCTCGAAATGCGCTGAACGCGAGCACCGCGGACCAACACCGCAGAGAAGAATGTAACTGCAGAGACAACACTGAAACGAGCATATTATTATCGTTCCGTAACCAATCAGATTGCACAACTAGCAGAAAGAATGCTCCTGAACAAACCAGAAAGCGCAAACAACACACACAAAAAAAGGAAAAACCGCAACCTGCGTTTTCTTTAAAAAAAGAAGTAATTTTTCTAAAAAAGAAAAAAATAGGGTGTTTTATAATTACAATAATTCGCGAAAAGCGCAGTCGGCAGCTGTTACGGGGGTCGTGCATGCATACGCGGGTCAATATACGGAACAAAAACAAAACTTGAGCCTTCCGAGGCATCTCGATTCTGAGAAAATGTATTTCTATGCGAGCACAAAGCGACGTCGCACACCTCCTTTTCCCAGATTTAGTTTACACGAACGGCTCGGAAGGCTCGAATGCCTCCCCTAATAACCTCGCAGAATCAAACCAGATCGAGGACCCGTTAAATGTAACCTCTTTTACGCTCAGACTACGATGAAAGCCAGTGAATTCTGTAACTCAGATTATCGCGAATGTTATCTGTGTACCCGTGGAACGGACAAGGAGCTTCAATCCGTCTTCTTCATCGTCGTGACAAAAAAATACTACCTTCGAAGTGTACACTTAACAGCAGAAACAAAAACAAAACGCAAGTACAAGTTACAGCGCTCGAGAAGTTGTACGAATACGAGAAACCTATACCCCAGTTCTCGCCCAGAGTACGCGCCTTATTAGAAGCACGGCGCGTCTAACCGACAAATTGCAAAACAACAACGCACATCACGGTATATAGTCGAGCCCGAGGCTACAAAATCGTGTTGTCTCGAAACAACGCTACACGTACAATGTACACATCGAGCGTCCCCTACGAAAGTCGCCAAAGCGCTCCAACCCACACCATGACTCGACCAACGGGTGGATGTCAATTCAAATAAACAAAACAGAACATATGTGTGTCCTTCCGCAACGCTCGTACAGGCACGAGACGAGCACGGGACTGGAGCCGTATCCGCTATTTATATTGTCCCCTTAATGAAAAAAAAAAAAAAAAGGGGGTTGTGCGCGGATGGAGGCTGGCGAAGCCAGCGGGTGTCTCAACAAAGCGACTTCGACGTCGTTCCCCCGCGGCCCAAGGTGGTTCGGCGTCGGCCTTGGCCGCGGCGGCGGTGCTACAGCAGCCCCTGAACAGCGGCCAAGGTCTCGGAGCGATCCAGCTCACCCGAGAGGGCCGGGGAAGACCTCCAACCTTCGGGACGCAAATAGCGCGTGCAGCCGACGTCGAACGGCCGTCACGCCATCCGTGCCCACCGGTCGACCGGCCGCCTCGATCTATGCTGCCGCACCCACGCGCACGATCCCTCCGAGTTTCAAACCATGGGTGCAGCAGCAGGGCCCTTTCAGCGCGGCGATATATCGTTCGAGTGTGTCGGAGATTCGCCAGAAGTTTGAGGAGAAGGTGCAACCTAGGACTCGGAGGAACGGATCAACAAGTGCTTTCCTCGCGGAGCACTCTCGAGTGCTGCTAGCTGTCGCCTGCTCACATATATTATCAAAAAACCCGCCTTCGGAGAATTAGCGATACCGCACGAACAAAAAAAAAAAAAAAAAAAAAAAAAAAAAAACATTTGTAGGGATCTCTCGTTCGCGGATGTAGTCACGACAACGTCATAGTGTCATGTCACGTAACACCGTGACAGGGAGACGTCGCGTCGGAAGGCGGAAGAACGAGCGATTCGAATTGCACGCTCAAGTGTGGAAAATAATCATCTTCGCTTCGCGACAGACACGAACATTCGACTCGGAGCAAGCGAGCCCGTCATACCTGTCGACCGTTTCCACGGCCGCACAAGAGAGGTTCGCACAGGTCGCCGCACAGGCGCACAATCCCGAGAACCGCCCTTCAACGTCGTCAGGCAGCCAGGTCAGTCCACTCGACACGCGAGAGCCATTGAAAAAGCCGCTCCCGAAAGGAGCCTCCGAACGACCTGCTCGAAGAAGATGCGCGACTGAAGGAGAGAAAGAGGGCCGTTTTGAAGGCCCGGCAAAAGATTGAAAAGAAAACAAAGCTAAATCAGGAAGAAATTGAAATCCTACCGTCCCCCCTAAAAAGAAAAGTGTCAAGTGTTAAAGCGACGCAGACTTCGGTCCTCTGTCGACGAGACAACATTAAAAAAAAGAAAAAGAGCGAGAGCGCGCAGCTTGAGTAACCACATCTGCTGTGATTGCGAACGCACGGGTGTTAGCTCCAGCGGGTTAATTAGAGGTGAATGCGTAAATGATGAGCTGTAGACGGAGACAGAATGAAAAAGACAGGGGGACGCCCCTGTCTTGCCAGGCCTCCAGCACCGCCTACACTCTAAGAAAAAGTGAGCACCCCCCCTTGTCATCGTGCGTTTTGACGGCTGTAACTACCCCACAGGCTTACCTAACTACCCACTGGGCTCGAGCCATTGAGAGTTAGCACCCTGTTGGAAGGTGACAAGCATGGGGTAGTCACGTTTTATAAACTCTTGAATTGAACATTCAAGTGCATGCAGTCGTTTAATAGTAAAAGTCACTTCAAAAATCTCAAAAAGTACTTAAAACTTGTTTTCTTTGTGCGTTGGTTATTATTTATTCAAATTTAAACCGCTCGAAACAAGCGTGTGGCTTATTTCGCCTAAACTGGCAGAAAACAAACAAGTACAGGCAACATTGGTACGCACCTACTAAAACCCGAGGCAGATAAAAAGTATCGCGGTTGTCCTTTTTTGGTTCCGTCGCGGGTTTTACTATGTACAACAGTAAACAACAGCTGGCAGCTGGCGTCGTGCTCGAGGAATTTAACCAAATCTCTAGAAAAGCACAGAAAGCTACGCACAGGCGTGAGTTGACTTGAATGTTCGTCGGACGAGATACTCTTGTCGTCTTTTATTGTGCGGTTCAGTAAAGAGCGTGCTCTCAATAAAGGTGTGATCGGTCAGTTCTGCGTGCAGTTCAGTTGCAAATGGCCTCCTCGGTTCCGCCCGTTCCGCCGAACTTGCGCTGCTGTCGTACCCAATTTTTTTGCTTGCAAGTGCAGTGAAGTATGAAGCATTGCACACCACGACTCAGGCCGGACAGCACGAACCTACACAGATATCTGCGATCATGTTCGTGTGTTTCACTATTTCTCTGTCTCGGGACATGATTCACCTTCACTGGCTCATTTGGCACATTTCATAGAGCATACTCGATAAAAAAAAAAAAAAAATGCTCAAACAAGTGTGTGTCATCCAAGGCGGAGTACTTCGAAAGGGTCTAGGATTTCAGGCGTTCCAACACGCGTTCCTTTTATCTGTATAAAAGATTCCAAGTAAATTTCCAAAAATAAGGCATGGGCAAACATATACGTGCTATTTGTTTTAGATTTTTTTTTTTTTAGAAAAAGTATTGCTGGAGACGACAGCAGGTGCAGCGCAGAGAATGATGTTTTCGGCGTTCTTTGATGCTCAACAGCTCATTCACACTGGAAGCGGATCCGCATTCGCAAAGCGGTTGTGAGCGCGGTTGTATAAAGATCCAGTCCAATTGCACGCACACTTGATGTCATGGAGTGCGCGTGCAATCGTACTGGATATTTATACAACCGCGTTCGCAACCGCTTTGCAAACGCGGATCCGCTTCCAGTGTGAATGAGCGGTAAGGCCGGTTCAGACACTTGCGTTTGAATGAGTTTGACAGCTTTGCGTCGAGAACCGAAAGCGACTCACCGGCACGACTGTGCTTCGTATG